CCTGGAGTTCTTAAAGTTTGGGTAGTCTGACAGGCCAGCAAGCCCCAGCACATTTTCCTGTCTCCCCCCTTCCATTAGTATTGGTATTAGAGATGCTCTTGGCTAGGTCTGGGGATCAGAATTCAGGTCTTGATGCTAGGACAACAAATGCTATTACCCAATGAACTCTTTCCACAACCCACAAAATTGCTTTTTAATTACCATATTTGTAACTATACTATTTTAAATGTATTTGTGAGTGAAATTATAGATTTTGTACAAGAGGATATATGACATTTTCACAAAGAAGAGATCTAGATAAACCAATACAAATATAACACTTAAATGTAGTTAATTGTTATGTTTTGTTTTTGTCTCTGGTATTTGTGGCAAAGGGCAGACTTCTGAAAACAAATGCAGACGATGGTAGAATATAGGCACATTTCCCCAGCTTAGAACAATAGTAAGTCCTAGCAATGGACTTTACTGGTTCACTGTTTGTTGCCTAAGGAAGAGACAGGTTAGAAAGGGGACATCAGCTGTCTTGTCCTCAGTCAAATAGCAGACAGCAGCAATATAGACTTGTAGTGTTGTGTGGTGATGTCTTCTAAAGTCACACAGTTGGCAAACCCTTCACAAGTCTGTTTAAGTTGCCATTGGGTATCAAGGAACATATTGTAGAGGCTATAATACTTGCAATTAAGTACTGCAGTCTCCCTCTTGACTGGTAACTGGACACCAATACCCTATGTACCTACCACCACCACCACCAGCACCACCACCACCACCACCACCATAACCACCAGCAGTACCACCAGCACCACAATCATCATCATTTAATATGTTTACTTATTCAGGATTTGGCACAGAAATAGAGGTAATTGTGTGTGTGTGTGTGTGTGTGTGTGTGTGTGTGTGTGTAAAGGCTGAATGTCTGAGGGGGTAACTTTAAGGATGAACTAAAGAACTTTGGTTACTGTTTTAGGGAAGGAGAAACCGGAATAGAGAAGTGAAGAAAAAAATGAACACAGATTATGAAAGAAAGGGAAACATTTTAATTCTGAAATTGCTAGGTTGGAACATGAAGTGGATGGATCAGACGTGTCAGATAGGCCAATAGATGGGTTTTATATGTGCTACATTTAAGATCCCGAGGGAGAAGTTGGGGGAACGAAGATCTGGGAAGGTATCTGGGCTGGTGGGAGGCAAGCAGGTTTCAGCTTGGATCTGTGCTGAAGCTAGGTAAGAAGAGACTACCTCAGAAGAGGTGTGAAGAGCCCCAGGACTATGAACACACCTCTCTCAACACACACTTAATTGCCTTTGCGTTTATTAAAAATGGAACCAGTGCAAAGTGAAAAAAAAAATTGGAGCATATTTTTCAGAAATCTGTGAAATTGTGTCCGAATTCTCCAAAGTTAATGGTCCTACTGTTGAAGAACATCTGTAGCTGCGTGATTGAGCTAACCTGGTTCCTTCTCAGTGCCATTTTGTGGGACACTCACAGCTTCTCTGGTTTCTCTGCCCTCTCTCACCTCACTGTGAGGAATTCTATATGGAGTAGCCAGAGACATTTTCCTTTTGGATTACCTAAATGGGATGTCATTTCTTACACAAAATCTTTTCTCGTCTCTTACCCCCTGGTGGCCTCTTCGCTCATCTACACGTCTCCAGCTTCACTTTCTAGGCCATGGCTGAAGGACCTGTCTTCTTTTTTATAGCCTCAGAACAAGCCTTTATGGTAGTTATTCGGTAGCTATACGTGAAGTGAGTGGGTGATTCTGTTTAAATTTCCCGTTAGAAGTCAATGTGGGAAGACTAGTGAGAAGCTTGGCAACATGCAGTGTGCATTAGAGGTATAGGTTAAACGTCATTTTTGACCATTCTTGCCTTGCCTCTTTCCAAACCTAAAATCCTGGTTTTTGGCTTGCCTCTCTGAATCCATTCTACTCTTCCAGTTCATCAGTGATTCACTTTATTTGGATTGTACAAGCTCATAGGCTGTAGACCATGTGGTTGAGTTCATTCAGTCATCTGGGGTTTTTGTCTACACATCTTCTATTGAGTAATTCTGGTCCCTGGCTGGACATAGAGCTAAGTTGGAAGGCTATGTTTCCAGAGTGAGTGAAGCCTGGGTTTGATCCCTAGTACCACATATGTTGGGCATAGTTGCATGTGTCTGTTACCCAGTTAAAAAGTGGCAGGAAGATCAGAAGTTCAAGATCATCTTCATCTTCATGGCAAATCCAAGACCACCTTGAGCTACATGAACCCTTGACTCAAATAATAGTAATAAATAATCACAATAACAACAACAAAAAATTATAATAGTTATTATTACTAGTATACTTGGCTTTGTGGTGCAAAGGACATGATTGAATAACAGCCTTCTTTGTAGGAAGTCTTAGGAGAAGAAAGATCCTCTGAAAGTTTCATTGTGAAACAGTGGAACTTCACCACTCAGGAAGCGTTACCCTGACCACACTACTGTCCGGTTAACTTGATATTACCACTTCCTTAGGTATAGTCCACACTGACAATGAGCTCTGATTCAGGCAATGTCCTAAGCACTTTCTAGACATTACTTTGCTTTTGAGTGGATTCTATTAGTATTCCGGTTCTGTCCTCACCAACTCACCTGCGGCCCCTCTTTCTGATTTGCAAGTGAGGATTTAAGCCCAGGTGGTCTAATTTCCGATTCCTACCCTCGTCTGTGCTTTTATATTCAATAGTGCCTCTCTAGCAGTTCCAGGGTCATAGAGTTAACGTTTATTCTGTAATGTTTGATTTGAAAGTTTGAAAAAAATAATATTCGGCTTTAGTTTTTTAAAAAGTCACAGTTTTGCCCTATCATTTTATTCTATCACTTCAAATTTCATTTCCCTTAAGGCAACCTCTGTTAACAATATTTTCAGGGTTTTTTTTATCATAAGATTTTTTTTTAAAAAAAAAAAACACTCATGGTGTGTTTGCAGCTTTCCTTTCAACTTTTTGTCTTCTGAAAAAGGAGCTGATTTTCAGTTAGTTGGCAAAAGTTTTAAGTAAAAATATCTCAAACACAACTCTGGTAAACGTGCATAGATATTCTTATGTGTGCCTTATATGTATCTTATATGTGTGTGTATTTATATGCATACACGCATACATGCTTACTGTGTAGAGTTTGGAGTGAATCCAAGGAAAAGCATGCCACCCATGTCTAGGAAAACAGATGAAGCTAAGTTCTTAGTTGCTTGGGAACCTGTCTATACAATTCCCTATATGCAATAGATTTAAAAACTCCAGGTGGATGAATGTTTTAAGTTCTCAGGACTTGAAATGTTATTTCCTTCACTTTAGAGCAAGCACTGCTTTCGAATAAATTTAACAATGTATATATGACTGAGTCATGTTGATGCTTCGAGAAAAATGAACAGAAGCCATTTTCGGCTATGGAAATAGGTTTTGATGCAGCTTTCGGTGCCTGACTTTCTGGAGTCAGTGTGAGAGTTTTATTTCTAGATCCTTCTGTGAAGAAGGGCAGTTCAATTTCTAATCAGCAACACACACACACACACACACACACACACACACACACACACACACTCCAAAGTAGAAATAGCCATACTGTTTGTCATGCACTGGAACATTTCCCTAAAAAGAGAGGTCACCAGAAGCACATAGCAGAGAACGCCCAGATGGCCCTCAGATTTGATTTCCTTTTCAGCAGCTCCTATTCAGCAGATGGATGGGAAGGCTGACCTCTCTGACACTTCTGCATCACTGCCTGCTACTCCAATTGCCTTGGCGAATGTTTTTTCATAAGGCTTCTCCTGGTACCTCAGAGATTGATGCCTGCCTGCCTGCCTGCCTGTGCTATGCTTCATTACGCCGCGACTCTGTGAGCTTGAGAGACGCTGTCTTCTATAAAAGGGGAATTCCTAGCTCATCAGAATCTCAAACATACCTTCCAGTCTCTCAAGTTGTGTCTAATGTCTCCGAAGAGATTATCTTTCTAGATGTACCACTAATTCATATCCATCTAAGGCTTATTATATTTTATTTTTTCTGTACTATGGCTAGGTTAAAAACAATGCCAACAGTTCTCTACAACTGTCTATATTGACCTGTTTCCAACACACCCATTAAGCCTCAGAGACCTAGCAATTCGAATGTAGATATTGCTGATTTTCTTCTGTCGCTGTGACTTTAGTGGCTGAGGACACATACCTGGGTAGAAGCTCTGTAGCTGCCATTTCTATCACTTTAGGGGAAGCCATTGCTTCCTTGTTGGCGAGCCAGTGCTGTTATTCATGCCAGACATTCAGGACTAACGTGACAGTTAAACAAGCAACGAATGCCAAGTGTTTTCTCCATCCCCGGGATATGCTCAGTGTACACTGGACTGCTACTTTGAGGTATACAGTAGAGTTTTGGATGCCTGCACATACACCATAAGTATAATTCCAAACACGAAGTGATTTTGTTCAGGTTTATTTGGACGGTGAAGCTGGTATATTGTTAAGGGAGAAGTGTTTTCCTGATCAGATTGATGCATGGATGGTCAACTTTCTCTGTAGGGATGGCTTCACTCCCTTCTGGTGACCCCGCTATGATCTGTGCTCTTCATTAGAGATGAGATCTGGAAACACACTGCCCTGTGCCTCACCTTCCATCTCACCAGCTAGGTTATAATTTCATGACATGGTAATGCAAAGAAACTGGCACCAAACTTGGATGTCCAGCCTTCTGGTTCCCAGAGGGCTGACCAAGGTGGCATGCTGTGGAGACCTCTGTGGCCTGCAGTTCTGGCTTGTGTCAGCTTGCAGTTGTCTCCCCTGTCACAGGTCTGCACACAGCTGGGCTTCAGCACAGGTTTTGATGCTAGCCGACTTCTGGCTTGGAAGCCAGTGCACGCTGGCTGCCTCATCTTCCAGCTTGAGTTTCATCTCTTCTCCATGCAGTTTTGGAGAACGTTGCTCTTTGAGATTGCCACTTTGTTGTGAAACTTTGTTTCGGAAGTAACTTTTTCCTTTTCACAGATCTAACATAAGGCCAGATTATGCAGACTCCAATTTCCATGACTTCAAGATGCACACCTTCACCCGGGTGACGTCCTGCAAAGTCTGTCAGATGCTCCTGAGGTAAGCTTGCTCAGGCCTGCCTGTTTTCCAGTCTAAATGAACTGGGATAGTTGCAAAGTATTTTAGGCATTTTAGCCATATTCTCAAAGGTGTTCTGAAGTAGAGGTGTTCCTTTCCCACTTGAGACACAGTAGATCCTTCCTGGCCTTTGACCTGTTCTGTTTCCTCAAGACGCTCGTAGACGTCCTCTGTCCCCATTCTGACGGTACTTTGGACAGCACGGTGACCTCTTCTTCCTATTCCTTGGACTAATGATTTTACGTAAGCAGCATTTAGCACATTTTAATACACCATTCTCCAATTTTACCTTGCAGGGGAACATTTTATCAAGGCTATTTATGCGTTAAGTGTGGAGCAAAGGCACACAAAGAATGTTTGGGAAGAGTAGACAATTGTGGCAGAGTTAATTCCATTGGTAAGTCATGTTTATTGTTGGGATTCTGTTTTTAATGAGGACATAAAACTTGCTAAATATAATTAAGGCCCAATTTATTCTTAATGTGTGTTTATTGGAACATATCATTTTGAAAACATCATTAATAAGTACAATTAGAAAATTGTTTAATATCGGTGTGACTTTTCTACATGACTTAGTTTTAAATTATTTAATATCTATTTGACTTTTACATGTGCTTGGAAGCAGAGGTCCTCAGGATACACTTGGATGGTATCATGACACTCCTTTCATTTACCTCAGCCCCCAAATATATCACCAAATTGTCTGAATCCTGCCAGTGCAATCAGTCATGAAAACAAAGGAGAAGGGCAATATTCTTCTATCTTGAGCTCTTAAACTTTTTCTTTCTTTTAAATATTTATATCAGATTCGTTATTGGTTCCAGAAGCAAACATTACACAGACTAATTCAAGAATTCATGAATTGAATACATTATCATTTTCCACATTAAACAAAGCCTATATCCTTTGGATTTATGTAAACAGTCTCTGCTGGTTTTTAAAAATAGCACTCTATGCTTGTTGTAGGAGCCCGTTGCAAATTATGCATTCAATAGCCTTTGCCTCTTGCTGCTCCTCTTGGGCTCTCTCCCTTCTCTTTCTTTTCTGGCCTCTTTATTCTTTCTCTTTCTTCTCGTTTCTCTTTGTCCTTTTCCCCTGAGTTCCTCTGTGTTTTATCAATAAGACCTTTCAAAATCAGGAAGAGTTTTTGAACACAAGAAAGGAACTTTAACAGCTTGAGTTCAAAAGGTAACCATGTCAACCTTTGATTTTCCCAGAGGAGAAGGTGGACACTGAATTATTTTGGATAATGTGAAGAAGAGTGGAACAGAAAAATATCTTATTTCAGGCAGGGCTGAGTTCAGAAAAGGAACAGTTGCAGAAAAGGTGAGCCCTATTAGAGGGCTGCGATCACAGCACAGCCCTGTCCTTTTGCTCCTTCATAGACATCGTCAGAGGCCCCCGTGCGCCATCCTCTGTGCCTGGCCGGGCCAGCCCTGCTAGCAAAGATCCTGACCTTGACTGAGTACCCCCACTGTGCTGAGCACTGCTATATCCTACAGAGAGTCTTCAGTTTTTAGAATAGTCCTTCCCGTGGCCAGTAAGCTCAGAGGGCTCCTGCTGCTTGCTGAAGGAGGTAAAGTGTAACTGATAAGGTTACCATTTTCATCAGTCTGAAGGTCAGGACAGTTTACAGAGAGGTGGAATGAACAGCGGTATTATATACGTTAGGACTGCTATTCTCCAACCATCAACCTGATACAACAAAACCTTGCTTTATTGCTCCACCCTTCCATGTCTTGCTCTTCAGTGAACATACTATTTGCTTAGGATAGGCTAGGGTGCTTGCAAACGACCAGGAGTTTTAGATTTGAATGTCTGAAATGACTGGGTGAGGGCCAGGTGTTCTTAATGACTGCACCTGCCCTCCCCATATAAGCCCTTAGAGCTAGGACTTTGATGCTTTCTAGGGCCCCTCATTTTAAAGTGAGGAAAACAGGCTCATAAACAGTTGAAAGTGAGGCAGCTGAAAATTAGGAATGCTAACGTCTGGTAGGCTCCAGATAATGAGATACTGAGATACCATCCAGTAAAAAGGTAGCAGCAGGCTTTAAACACTGTTTCGCAATTTACCATAAAGCAGGGGAAAGGTTTTTTGTTTTGTTTCTGACTCTGACTCCATTCCATGAGCACACGCCCTCGGACTTTCAAGTCTCTGACACTGCCCTGAATCCTCCTACTGACGCAGTGTCTCCCCAGTCTCCGTATCCATGACTTTCCCCTCTTCTCTGTGTGTCCTTTCCTGCTTGGGAATTGGAAGAGGTGAGCGCGTGACATTGAATTCTCCTAGTTAAAGAGGAGTATGAAATGAAAGGCTTGCCTAGCAGGCTTCCCTTTTCCTTCAGACCTGGCTTTGTCACTTTGTCATTTAGAGGCCTCATCCTCAGGATGAAGGGGCTCCGTGTGGTCACTGCGTCAGCACTTTTCTCCCCTGTCCCTCAGGAGGTGCCCTCTAGAAACCGGAAGACGCTGCACTGTCTTCAAACTCACCCATTCTTTTTTTTTTTTTTAAAAAAATACATTTATTTATTAAAAATTTCCCTTCCTCCCATTTTCCTCCCACTATTCCCCCTCCACCTCTGCTTCCCTCTCCAGTCCTAAGAGCAGTCAGGCTGCCCTACCCTGTGGGAAGTCCAAGGCTCTCCCCATTCCATCCAGGTCTAGGAAGGTGTACATCCAAACAGACTAGGCTTTCAAAAAGCCAGTACATGAAGTAGAATCAAAACCCAGTGCCATTATCATTGGCTTCTCACTCAGCTGTCATTGTCAGCCATATTCAGAGAGTCCGGTCTGATCACATGCTCATTCAGTCCCAGTCCAGCTGGCCTTGGTGAGCTCCGATTAGATCAGTCCCACCATCTCAGTGGGTCAACGAACCCCTCGTGATCCTGACTTCCTTCCTCATGTTCTCCCTCCTTCTGCTCTTCATCTGGACCTTGGGAGCTCAGTCCAGTGCTCCAGTGTAGGTCTCTGTCTCTATCTCCATCCATCGCTGGATGAAGGTTCTATGGTGATATGCAAGATATTCATCAGTGTGGCTATGGGGTAAGGCCAGTTCAGGCACCCTCTCCTCTGCTGCCCAAGGAACAAGCTGGGGACATCTCCTTGGACACCTGGGAACTGCTCTAGAGTCAAGTCTCTTGTCAACCCTAAAACGGCTCCCTTAATTAAGATACCTTCTTCCCTCCTCCCATATCCACTCTTCCTCCATCTCAACCATCCCATTCTCCCAATTCTCCCCAATCCTTCCCTTTTCCCTTCTCTCTCCCCCTCTCTCCTTCCCCCCACCTCATCCCTACCCTAGTGCTCCCCACTTTTGTCTGGCGATCTTGTCTACTTCCAATATCCAGGAGGATCAATATATGTTTTTCTTTGGGTTCACCTTCTTATCCTTGAACTAGTCTATGCAGACGCTGTGGCTAGAGCGTCAGGCTGAGCTGCTATGTCTGCCATGAGTGTGGTAGAATAATTACTGTGCTGCGTTATTATGGGAAAGTTGCTTTCATGCTCTCTTCCTTCCTCGGCTGAAAATCCCTGCACGCCATGTTTCGTGTTGAGACTTCACTAGTTGGAAATGGCACACTCGGGCATTCATTGACCCTGACTTCTGCAGTATCGGCTACACAGGCTCAGGGAAGGAAGGAGGAAGCACAGGGTACATTTGGGGATAGAGACTGGAGTGGGAATTTTGTGTGGAGTGAAATGTGCTGCTTGGTGAACTTGACTTTGAGGAAGATTACCCTAACAGGCAAATTTAAAACAAGTTAGCGGTGTTGATTTAAGGCAAAGTTAAATGTTTATGTAGTTATTTCCCATATAACATCAATCGTGGATTAAGACTCATTCTCACTTTATAGAGGTTTCTAGTTCCAAAGCTTACCTCCGTCTAATTATATTCTCAAGAGCCAGGGAGATTGCTGGCTGGTTAGTGTGTGTCAGAGTACATTTGTAGAGCGGGGCACGGTGATGAATATGGATGGTGACATTGTAATAAACCTTGGACAGTTGTGGAAGGTGAACGTGATGTTTTCGCTTTGAGTGGGTCATATACACAGAAGTAAGTGGGGAGGCGAGGAAGCACAGGTTCACACCATGATCGAGTAGACCAGGGTCCAGATGGAGGCTCCAGAAGCCCCGCTTTTGCAGCTCTGGCCACATCCTTGCACACTCTGGCCATCTCCCCACAGGCCCTGCCTCGCTCACTCTTTCTTATGGGAAACTGTTAGCCAGTCTCCTTGAAAACTCTCTCTCACACCCCGTTACCCCATAGGCAGCCTTCAGAGATTGGACTTATTTCTGTCACCTAAGTTGTAACCCACATCTAATGAAGATAGGTCTTGGCTCCATCTACATATGACATGTTTCCTGAAATCTGGATTTCACACCTCCGTCGTCAGCTCACATCTCATCTGCCAGTGGCCGTTAAGTAACCTGCAGGACCTGGTGCAAAGCTCCTTTCCCTTTCGCAATGCAGGCTTTCTTAACTCTTGGTCCACATGCTCGCCCAAACCCAGGCGGAAGTTGGTGCGTCGCCCTCCTTGCTCGTCAGCTCTTCGTTCTTCTCCTATCCTGCTGAGAACCTCCTGCTGCAGTGTTGATTTAGACGGAATCCTCACTGATTCTGTTCTGCTTTCCGTGTTCCATCATATTCCTCATACAGACTTCCTGAGCTCATCCTTCAGAATCCATTGTTATTACATCACTCGCTCACTTCTGCTCTTACCATTTTCTATAGAATACTGTCCAAACTTCCCCCAACAGCACACCTAGCTCTGCACCGTTTTTCTGCCCCTCCTTTGACCGTCCCTTGACTTCCCCAACTGACCTTGGATTTCTACTTAATCGTAGTTCTTCAACTACTTTTCTTACATGTCTTCTTTGTGTCTCTGTTAGTCTTTCCTTCCTCATTCTGTTTAGTTTGAAAACTCAGTACAACTATTACCCCCACTTGGAAGACTTTCTGGTTCTCTGCATGCCTGGCCTTTCTTAGTCTACCAGTTATCTCTGTTTTCCCGGCATCTTATAATTAACTTTATCAAGGCATTTTATCACGTTTATGAGGCTTGCCATCTGGCTGATCCCTCTAATTAGGCTCAACCATATGCAGCTGATGTTTTGACCTCAGGGAAGACTTGGTGTGTGGATATGTGAATGGATAAGCCACTCGAGGCATGGACAGATGACTAAGTTAGGTTCCTGGGTCCTGAAGATCATCATCACCTTAGGTTTAGAAACAGTGTGGAAGCTTATTGGGTTCCATGCTTGTGGAGGAGAGAACTTGATACGATGGTAGGCCAAGGCGACAAACAAACAAATAAATAAATAAAGCTAATAATAATAAATCCTCATTCTGTGATTCACTGGCTTGTACTTTAAGAATGAAATAAACCAAGTAGA